ATGGAAACTAAGAAAAGAAAAAATGAATTATGAGTGCTAAAATTTTAACGAAAGCTGGACACTTAACTATTTTTTTTTTATTGAGCACTTTAGAAAATGTGTTTGCTTAATTTTTCAAGAAACTATTTCCATAAAGAAAGTTTCTCCTGACCAAGGTAGCCTTCTGGACAGAATGGTCTGTGGATGAGACAATTTATTATAGTACATCTGAAATGGCCCTTCTTTAAGACACTGCATACCTGTCTGGCCCATTCTCACAAAAAGGCTGTTGACCCCTGACATAAGTAGTATGGCAGAACCAAAGAATCTAGTTTGTCCGAACACTTTCTGGGAAAGTAGCAAGAGGCTTATCACATCCTGTCTGTGAGAGAGAGAGAGGTTGAAGGCTGAAAAATAATTTGTCACCCACAAGGACTTGGAGACACTTTTGGACTATTGATGCTGGAGAGTGCAGTCTGAGTAGCTCCCACCTAAATATGACAACAGCCTGATCTGGGTCTTGTAAAGGTAGATGATAGCACATGGAGTCAGGTACTTACTGAAGCAACCATTTTACCTGCACTTTTCGCAATGGCTCATATGTATGAGTTCCATTTGAGGTCAGGGTGAGTTTAAGGTCCAACAGACTTTCAAGGCATGGTGCCTCTCTGATGGGACATCCATTCATCATGACTGGTGGTAGTTTGGGGTTCAATTGGCAATGATGGAATATAACTAGTTTGGTTTTCAAGGCATTTCCCGAACTAGATCAGAAGAGCAATCAATCTCCGATTATCAAGAGTTTTAGGTGCACTGGTATATAGTCTTCTCGATAAGAATGTATTTTATCATTCTTTTGGTATTCTTTATTCAATTTCTATGTCTCTTTCTAATGCAAGACATTCATTTTAATAACAATAGTGAGAAAAAAAAAACTTCATAAAATAATATTGGTAATAGTAATCATTAAAAATAAATTGATATCCCTGTTTTATTAACTTGGTTGACATCATTAATGTGGAGGATGTGTTTGATGAATGCAAAGGGATTGGTATTTGGTTGGAAATTGGTGAGTTTTATTTGTAAATCATCAATATCTATTTATTGATCCCGTTTTGGTGCCTCCAGGCATTTATCAATTGATATTGACTGTTTTGTGGATCTCTGGATTAGAATGAAGGCTGATGAGATGGCAGAAAGCTTACACACATTTGTCTCATCAGACAATTTTGCTCAAGGATCTATATTTGTTGATATGTCTACTGAGATCGCATTAGTAAAGAAGGACTTGGTGCTGATCATTCCAGAACACTGCCATCAAAATGTCAATAAATATGTCCCCAAAGTACTAACCAGAAGTGAATGATGCTTTTAGGAATAGAAAGCAATTAGATGAAAGATTAAAGGCAGTAACAACAAAGGTGATATAGCAAAGGTTTTAGTGCTGCTAAATAAGTAGTTTTTGATTTAAAAATCATATGACATAAGACTTCTTAAAAATATTTAGCCATTTATATCTGTATGCATGTGCATAAATGCATCAACAATTTGCATTCTAATGATGCAACCCCCCCCCCAAACAAAAACAAACTTATTTTACCCAAATGTTTAATTTTTCAGACAACCTCAAAAATGCACTTAATTCAGTGGTGAATATTATCCATATAGATTGAACATTATATAATGAAAATTTCATATAAAAAATTCAGTTGGTAAGTACCAGTCAGGTTAAGAGATTTAAAGCAACAGAAATGTGATTCTACAGAAGGATGCTGAGGATACCATGGACCAAGCATGTGAGTACCAAGGTTTTAGAGGAAATGGAAAAAAAAAAAAAAAAGGAAACTTATATTTAACATCAGGAAAAGATAGTTGAAATTTCTAGGGCACATAATGAGGAAGGAGGGCTTGGAAAATCTGATACTCACAGGACAGATTGAGGGCAAGAGGAAAACAGAACATAACATACATGATCAGCTTGAGAAAATGAATGGTGGAACAGGGTTTAGGAGAAATAATGAAAAGACAAAATTTATTAAGAGCTACAAAGGATAGGAAATTGTGGAGAGCCAAGATCACCTATGTCCTGAGGAGGCATGGCACATAAAGAAGTAGATGCACCCTACACACTAGGGATGTACTGTCTAGGTAGGCAAAATCAGCTGTACCTACCCTGAATAAAATAGATCAGCTATATTTTCCTTCTGTGGCACATTATGCACCTTATCCAATAAATTTATAAATGGTTAGTTTTGTTTTACAGCATATTATGGGTTATTTAATGTCAACAAAATTTTTATTGTTGGTAATAATTTTTTATTTTTTTATTTCTGGTATTAAAACCTATTTTTACACTTTCATAGTGTTTTGATCCCAGTTTTGGAATTAACTATTTACCCATAGCTGGGACCCTAACAGGTACTACCACCCTGGGTCAGGGTGGACCTGGGAACACCAGCAATTAAAAGGTGGTTCCATGCTCCTCAAGGCCTCCTGGTCAGAGGACTTACCCAGGACGGAAAATTATGAATGTTACTCTGATTATTATACATAAGGTGCAAAATATTTTAGTATTTTGTACATTTACTACATAAAGGTCAGAAGCTGCCTAACTGTAGTAATTACCGATGGCATGTACCTGCTATACACACACACACACACACACACACAGAGGATGTTCAAAAATATTTCAGTTGGAAGATCATCTGTAATGTGGGATTATTTTAATGATTTCCTAAATTGTATAGTTGAACACTTGTAAATAGGGAGCATTATTAAAATTAAGTTTAAAAAGTGAAGCACTAAACATCTACAAGGCCTGATCAAAAATGCATTGGGACTGTTGCTATGGTAATGGAAGTAAAAAGAGTAAAGCCGTTTGGTACAGATTGACCTTGAACACTGTCATGAATACACACTAAGTTATAATGTTATCACTCACTTCCATTGTATATAGCAGAGCTTGAAAGGAAAGTGTGTAGAGTGTGGTTGTCTCACCACACCACAGATGTTCTATCAGTGACCATGACTAGTGCAGCAGTCTTTGCCCAATTACAACATTCCCTAGGCGTGACAACCACCATATTACTCAGATCTTGCCCTTTGCATCTTTTCCTCTTTAAAAATCAAATCCCACTTGAAAGGAATAAAATATCAAATCATCATGGAAATCCAAGAGAATGTAACATGGCACTGGTTGTTACCCTAAAAATGAGAGTTACAAGAATGCTTGCATCAATGAAAATGACACTGGATAAAATGTGTGGCTTCAGGAGACTAGTTCCAAAGAGTTTAAATGCCGAATTGATATGTGGTGTTTTTTTTTTTAATTTCATAGTACCAATCCTGATACTTTTCGATTATATATATATATATATATATATATATATATATATATATATATATATATATATATGATTGTCATTGTAATTATAAATTATTTGGTTATTATTATAAATTATTTTCATTGTTATTATCATATATATATATATATATATATATATTTTTCATTGTTATTATACACTTTTATAATGAATACCATTATTAAAATTAAGTTTAAAAAGTAAAGCATTAAATATCTATGTTGAAATGAAGCTTTATTTTAAACATTCCAAATATCATTTAGTGCTACTTAAGTAGACTGAGCCACATCTATAAAATAAGGAAAAATCTACTGGCAAATAATTTTTATAGATTAGCATTCATTAGAGTTTTCTGAAGCTACAACATTGATCAGAATAAAAAAATTATTGATCTTTTTTATTGATTTGGAAGGGGGTTCTGTTCATAATGTCAATACAGTATCAAATCCATCTCTAACTTTTACAGAGTTATCTGAACTTTCTTTTATTTACAAATATTGTGCCTTGAAATTGTTTTATTTATAAATATTGTGCCTTATATTTTTGTAGATACTTTTTGTATATATGTATTAGACATTTAAATTTTGATCTTGTTTTTTTTAATAAATAGGCAGAAATTTGATCTACAGAACATTTTATGATTAAGTAATTGTGGCTGGCTTTGCACTTCAGTGATTTTAACAAAAACATCAATAATTACAATACTTTTTTCTATTACATCTTTTATCCCCATTAATTCCATCTCCTAATCTCATTAATCCCAACCACAATTCCCATTAATCCCATCTCTTATTCCCATTTATTCCAACCACACTTCCCATTAATCCCATCTCTTATTCCCATTAATTCCAACCACAATTCCCGTTAATCCCATCTCCTATTCCCATTAATTCCAAGCAAAATTCCCATTAATCCCATCTCCTATTCCCATTAATTCCAACCACAATTCCCATTAATCCCATCTCCTATTCCCATTAATTCCAACCACAATTCCCATTAATCCCATCTCCTATTTCCATTAATCCCATCTCTTATTCACTTTAATTAGAACCTTTATTCCCATTAATCACTACTCTCATGACAACCCTTATTACTGTTAACTACAACTATTTGCTGATGCGATACAAAAAAATTATTTTATGAATATATAAGTAATTTTAAAAAGAATTACTTTGAATAAAAAAAACTGTGTAAATTATTGAAAGAAACAAAATTTTAAGCATAAAGAAAAATAAAATAAAAATTTAAATATTCTGGTATAAATTATTGAAAATAAAGAAATTAAATTATTACAAACAGCAGAAATACAGTATCTCAGCATGGATGGATCCAAATAATCCTGTGAAAACATTAAAGAATAAAAATGAAAAAAATTTATCCTGTGAAAAGATTAACAAAAACATTGGAAGAAATTTTTTTTTTTTTTAAAATCAAACAAAAAGGAGATAGGAAGCTTTTCTATCTTTTTTTTTTTTTTAAATCCTGGAATTCTGAGGTAGATTTTACAAATCCTGAAATTCTGAGGTAGCTCCACAAATAACCTATTGGCAGCGTGTTCTCTTACAGCAAAGATTTGAGAGGATGTCTTTGGTCAGCTCATGATCATCCATTGAGCAAAGTGATACACCAAAAAATCAGCATAATCTCCACCTAACTTACTGATAGTGTTCAGATGCATTCTCAAACTCGCCAAGGAATATGTAAGCATTGCCCAAATTTGTGTAAGCTCTCCGTTCTGCTGATCGGTCTCCAAATTCTTTAGCAATTGCTAATCTCTGAAAAGAGAAAGAAAAAGAAATTTTTGGAATAGATATACAGAATAGATTTTTTTTGTTTTTAAACCATTATTACAATGAATTAAGTTTTAAGAGCAGATTGTTAGTCATGTTTGTTTACACAAGGTGGTGCTGAAAAGTTCTTGGCTCAACCCACTTCCTATAATCTGACCAAGTAACCAAATATCTAATTTTTTTTTAAACCCTCTTTGGTCAAGCAGAGAGCCTTCAAAGCCCCAAATATTATTTTGAATGCTATTTTTATAGTAACCAATTTTTTTATATAAATGCTAAATTAGTGCAATTTTAAGTAGCATATTTGATAGCCAATAAGAATTACAGTTTCTTCTTGAAGGATATCTCACAGGATCTATATGCAAAGTTAAGACAGCTGATTGGCTAATTATTATATTGAAAAGTCTTATTTCATTTATGAGATCCAAGCATAAAAGATTTAAGTGACATTTAAGCAATTTGACTCCTACTTCTGAGACAAAACCTAAGGAATCCAAATACAGGTCAAAATTCTAAGTTTCTTATTAAAAGAAAAAAAAAAGTTGTGTATCCCAGCTGGATTTTGAACCTAGTTTACTGATTTTTATCTGATCTGTCAACCACAAGTTTGTTCATACCTTCATGCCCGAGCTGTCAGCCCCGATTTCGTTCATACCTTCATGCCCGAGCTGTCAGCCCCGATTTCGTTCATACCTTCATGCCCGAGCTGTCAGCCCCGATTCCGTTCATACCTTCACGCCCGAGCTGTCAGCCCTGATTTCGTTCATACCTTCATGCCTTAGCTATCAGCCCTGATTTCGTTCATACCTTCACGCCCGAGCTGTCAGCCCTGATTTCGTTCATACCTTCATGCCCGAGCTGTCAGCCCTGACTTCGTTCATACCTTCACACCCGAGCTGTCAGCCTTGATTTCGTTCATACCTTCATGTCCGAGTTTATGTTCATACCTTCAATGCCTGAGCTGTCAACCATGAGTTTGCTCACACTTTCTAATCCTAGCTGTTACCCATTAGGTCACTCATACCATTATACAAGCTACAAGACTTTTATTTACTAAATACATAAAAATGAAATGTAATATGCCTTACACTAAGCCAAGAAATCATGTTGAGGAATATGAGTAAACCACAAAAACTTCATTATATTCTACTGAATTTTATCATGATGTAGAAAAACGCTTATGTAGAAAAAAAAAATGGTGATTAGAGGAGGGTCAAAAAGTGCAGTGCCTGCTGACAGGCCATTAATTTTTTTTCTTCTTCGGTCACCTCAAAGAAATGGATTGCGTGGCTCTCTTTCTCAGCCGTTACACTGGGCAGTTGTGAAACGGACACCAGCTCAGCCGTGCCTGCTTCAACTTTCTCTTTGTCCAACTGTCAATCCGTACGTCCAACTTTATTGCACGCTTTCCGCCTAATGACTGATTCACCCATGCTGCTGGCACCACAATTTTTATGCTACGGCCAAAATTTGCATGTGTGCAATTATCGTCTCGTTTTGGACGAGATATGCACGCATAAATTGCATCTTCAATAGCGGTCATATTAATTTTTATCATCACTTTGCAGGCAAGACACGTTCGCGCTTGTTTCGAATTCTGAGGTAAGTCATGTCTTTTATCACAGCCTAAATTCTTTTGAAATACCATAACATCTGAACACTGATAAGATTTTATTTACTCAGATTTTACTAGAACCTATCAGCTTATCAATTTCTCCACCCATGGCAACATTGAAAACTGACAGAGATGATTATGATCTGAGATTCTAAATACTGTAGACGTCTTTCAAAGAAAGCCATCTATACGTCATCACAAGTCTGTTTAGTAATCAGAGATGGAATCAGTATTTGTGTTTCAATTTTCAGACGTTTTCATTTGCTGTGATTCTTTCCTGACCGTATAAAATGTGCATTAACTTGAACACTACATAATGACAGTAATATCAGGTTTCCAGGGAAGGCTAAACAATGAAAACAGTCGAGATGCAAAGGCACACATTAAGTGCTTAGAGAGAAAGAGAGTGAGAAAAAGAGAGAGAGAAAAAGAGAGAGAGAGAAAGAGAAGAGGATTACTTGATTTTTCAGTATGGTTTGCATTGGTGGTACAAAAATAAAAGAATTGTTATATAAAGAAGAAAAGACCAAAAATAAGTAAGTCATTTTAAAGTGTGCATCTATTTTGATGCATATAAAAACCACACATCTCTCTCAGGTATATATTACCAGCTTTGGGTATAATAGCAGAACAAACTAAGCTCTGTAACCTTGATAAGGAAATCAGTCTAAGATAAGAACAACTCTCTTGAATTCAAATAATCTGCTAACTTGTCATAAATCAGCATGGCAAATCCATTTTCTTGAGGAAGGCTTAAATCTTGCTGTAGACCAAAAAAAAAAATAAATAAATAAAAAATAGCTGATTATTAAAAAAAAATAAATAAAATTAATAGTCTTTCAATTGTTATTTGTATATATAACAATTGCAAGACTAGATTGTTATGTCCTAAAGATTGGGCTTAAGCAAGGAACAGACCATCACTACTGGGTGTTGACCTCAATGTCCACTTTTATATTTACATGCACTCTATCCCTGATATTGAGCACTTTAACCCAGAAATATAGCATACCTTAAAACTTTATATATATATATATATATATATCCAGGTATAAGATAAAAACAAATGGAGTATAATTCCACAGTCTGTAGCATTTAATTTTTAAAAAAGTGCTCATTTCAGAATAGAGCGTAATATTATTTATTGTATGAGATTAAAACAAAAATATGTTAAAAATCGTTACACAATAGCTTTCATGTTTCAGCACTAAAATTGTGCCTTCTCAGTTGATGATAAATAACTGGTAATTGTTTTTAAATTTTGAAAGCACACAACAACAAATCAAAATGAGGCTTGTGGGTTTACCCTGATTAACCAATAAGGTGTCAGACCTATGCTAAATTAAAAAATAACCTTATATATATATATATATATATATATATATATATTGCATATATAATACATCTAGATCAGGGGTATGAAAGTCAAGAAACATAAATGGACCATTATGTACTGAGGGAGAGGTGCAGTGGGTAAGAAGCAGACCTGTTGCCAGGGTATTACCAATGAGAAATACATCAACACCAAGCAGGCTGGTGGGAGGTGGGGGACAAAAGTTGAGTGGGGTCAGAACCAGCTGTCCCTAATATGAATTGCTAAATTTATTTCTTATAAAAAAAAAAAAATAAAAAAAAATGTCATAATGTACATTTGTACATTCCTTGTCTTGTAGCTGAGGAATAATTCTGGGTGCTGGGAGGTCAAGTTTTCTTCTCTTCTCTAGAGAAGAACGAGAACAGACCCTGCTGATCTTAAAATTGATTGACTGTTTGTACTTGATAGGTAGGTCTAGCTCAATATGGCTACTGTAAAAGCATGGATGGGTGTGAGAGACAAATTTATTAAAATTTGAGGACAATATTAGTCATGAGAATAGTTCCCCAGGGACCACATGCATATTATAGATTACAGTCATCAAGGAATAGCGACTAATCAAGATCTCTAGGGTTGATTGATTTTGTTTAGTGGCATACCAACACCTCTATGGGTTATTTAATTCCAAAATCTAAATATTGTGTATGCAATTTTATGGCTTCAACTATGGATATTTTGTACATAATTTTATATTTTCAGGACAAATATGTTTTTAAATATAGTTTGTAGATAAAATGTATTGCTGATAATTTTACTATAAAAATGTACTTTTATACTTTAGTGCTGTATTATCATTTTGCTATAAAAATGTATTACTATGAGTCATTTTTTATTATAAATATATTGCTGGTATCTTTACCTTAATGTATTTTTATACTTTCTTAGTGAACTACCAAACAAAAATTATAACATTATTTTCTCATAGCTGGGAAAATAACAGGTGTTGCCACCTTGGGTCAGGGTGGTCCTAGGAACAACAGCAATTAAAAAGTGGTTCCACACTCATCAATACCTCAATTCTCTCAATCAGAGGCCTTGCTGCCAGATGTAGTTTATCATCATACCCAGAACACTGAAAAGAATTGTTGGTCAGGTTGCCAGATGTGAATGTACTGAAATCTTATGGAAGCAGGGTGGCATTGATTTATAACCAAGTAGGAACTGTAATAATCCAAAAACATCTTCAAGATGACCATGTTGGGAATAACATTGGTACTAGTGTAGAATACATTATAGACTATTGGGCTTACAGCCACATCATATTGAAACACTAGTTCCCATACGATCACCGATGTTAAGCAATTTTGGGAGTCCGTTTGGGAATACCAGATGCCTGAATGTGTGGGTGGTGTAATGGAAAATGGCTTGGAATTATTAATCAGAGAACCATATTCTAATTCCCATTGGATTCATTATATTCACTCACATGCAAATACCCCTGAGAAAGGTATAAATCCACCTCTTCTCCCTCCAGCTATAGATTAATTAGTAAAATGTATCACTAAAACTATTATTTAAAAAAAAAAAATTCTTACAATCAAAAAATATTTTCTGGCTTATAATAACCTTCAAAGGGTTGATAAGCCATAAAAAACAATTCAATAAAATCACACTACAGATTATTGTTACTTATATATTACTAATGTACTATTTATTATATGTTACCCTAATACCCAAGATACAGTCAACAATGAAATTATTCTTACACCCATCAATTTGGGTGGAAAATAATCTAAATCATTGTAAGTAAAGATGCTAAAATATATACCTATATGTGATCATACATTTCTGGTAAACTTAGTGTGTGCGTATCATACTGCATATACTAATTTAGTATAAGAAGCTGAATCCTGGGAAATGTATTTTTTCTTTGTTTACATTAACAGGCTGAAACCATATTGCCTAAGCACATTACTGTATTGCTCTGAAAGTGAATACTACTGCTGATAGAACGCAATACTATAAATATCTTGCTTATTTCCCAATCATGTCGCA